TCACTGGTCAGCAAGGGAAGAAGTATTTGAAAAGTTAAACTAAGTAAATACATAAACCAAGTCTGATACATGTCATGTACAAGGAGCAATGAATTGGAATAATGAACCTGGTCTGAATGTTGGTCCACTGTCTCTGTCAGTCGAGCCAGAGGTGGTAGATGATCCTGTGAGATACAGAGCAGATATATATGTACAGAATGGAAGACACACCAATTAGTATCACTTTGGGATGTTCTCTGGCATTCATTTATTTCTGATTAAGAGTAATCCCGAAACAATTTTCTCATTATTCTTTTTAGAAAATTAAAGACTGTAAATTGTAAAGTAAATTAAACTTTCAATGAATGCTCTAAATGTGAATAACCTACCTCCACCTTCAGGTTGTGTCCCACTCCCAGCAGATGTGGAGTGTCCTCCAGCTGTTCCCACCTCTGCAGAACCACCCTGTCCAGCAACTGGTCTGGTTTCTCTGCCTGAGTGGAAAAACATTATTAATATACAAACAGTATACTCCAGAGAGGTATTTGATAAAATGGGTTAGGGCTGACTCTTGAAAGTTGGAGATTTAAATCATCAGTTGGAGACGACTGAGTCAACTGAGATTGCTTCAAGTCGAGCAGTTAATCTTTGAGAGAAAGAAAGAAACTGCCTCACGACGTACTTGAGATATCACATTCACAAAAATGAGACAGACAAGGTCACTGTGAACTGTGACCGTTGACTGCAAAAATCAAATCAGTTTATCCTCGAGTCTAGGTGAATATGCCAAATTTGCAGAAGTTCCCTCAAGCTGTTCTTGAGATATTGCGTTCACAAGAACAAGATAGATGCAAGGCCACAGTGACCTTGACCTTTGACCACAAAATTCAAACCAGGTTATTCTTTAGTCCAAGTGGACATTTGTGTCAAATTTTAAGAAATTCCCTGAACGTGTTTCTGAGGTATCATGTTCACAAGAACAAAACAGATGCAAGGTCACACTAACCTTGACCTTTGACCACCAAAATGCAATCAGTTCATCACTGAGTCCAAGTGAACATCTGTGCCAGATTTGAAGAAATTCCCTCACGGTGTACTTAAGATATCACATTGACAAAAATGAGACAGACAAGGGCACAGTGACCTTGACCTTTGACAAAAAAAAAATTATTCAGTTCATCCTCGAGTCCAAGTGAATGTGCCAAATTTAAAGGAATTTCCTGGAGCTGTTCTTGAGATATATTGCGTTCATAAGAACGAGATAGATGCGAGGTCACAGTGACCTTTGACCACAAAATTCTAATCAGTTTATTCCTCAGTCGAAGTGGACATTTGTGTTAAATTTAAAGAAATTCCCTTGACATGTGTTACGTTCACGAGAATAAAACAGATGCAGGGTCACAGTGACCTTGACCTTTGACCACTGAAATCCCATCAGTTCATTGTTGAGTCCAAGTCAACATCTGTACCAAATTTGAAGAAATTTCCTCAAGACCTTCTTGAAAAATCCCGTTCATGAGAATGAGACAGACGAGGTCACATTGACCTTGACCTTTGACCACCACAAACAAATCAATTATCAAATCACAGTTGAGTCCTTGTAGACTTTTGTGCCAAATTTGAAGACATTCCCTTGAGGCGTTCTTAAGATATTGTCTTCATCAAGGATGGGACAGACAGATAGACAACCTGAAAACATAATGCCTCCGGCCACGGCTATCGCTGGTGCAGAGGCATGAAGATGATTTGAAATTAAAATGAGCTTTGGATGGTTTTGGAAGTTATAGAATAAAATACCTGGACAGTGACACAATGGCTAGATTTATGCTTTAGTTATTTTCTAACAGTGCACTTCAGTTTACAAGAACAAAAGATTTCAGGATGTTGAATAATCGATAACTTTGGGAAACAAACTTTCTACCACAAGTTTAGCTGAAGTTGAAGAAGTTTCCCCAAACCAGATAAATAACAATATAAAGCGGCTATCACCAGTCAAAACTCTGATATAGTAACATCTCGTTATATGTTTAATGACATGCCTCTTGCCTTATAGAAGATAGAGCCATTAGGCTAGTTAGGCGTGTTAAATGTCTGAGTATCAGGGTGCTGCCCAAACGAACTGCACTGAACTAAACAGGGCAGGTGTGAAAACAGCAATCGCACTCAGGTGAGCACCAAAAACTGGACTGAGACCTTCTTGAAGAGGTGGTCTCCGTCTGGTTTCAAACGAACTGTGGTGCGGTTCGTTTGTGGTGAGAACATGTTCTGACCTAGATCTGAACCAACTGCAGTCACATGACACATTGTTTGGGTTAAAAATGAGCATGTTACAGTCCTGGAGGATTATTAATGTGCACCTCCTCCTGTACTGCCTTAATATGCACATTCAGCACATCCAATGCATCAAAACATTGTTTTCTAGTTGGAGCCGCGCCTCGTTTTCAAACTGTATGGTTTGAATAAAATGAACAATGACAGCAATATAGTCCACGATGAACAGCGCTAAAATCAACCTGCGTAGTTGTCCCTCCATTGTGACATTAGAAAGTGTCACATTTATCTTGCAAGTGTACTCTTCTTCAAAGTTTAGTTTACTTCCTGGATTTTTCCCACATGGAAATTCTGACCAATCAAGAGCAGCTTTCTCACACAAGGCATTTGATCTGGTCCGCTTGTAAATGCTGCCGTGAGAACACGAACCAACTCTAGGCAATTATGCAACTTTGTAACACAATTAGACCCTGATTCAGACCAAAGTAAGACAACTCTAGATCTGAAAGCATCCTAGGTATGACTACAGGCCCATTCACAGTGTTTGGGAATGTGGAGCGATCCAAAGCTTGACAGGCCTGCCATGCCTATTTATGGGTTCTACACTATGGCTGGACCACTACAGTATAGGCAGGATTAGTGAATGTAAAATCGTTTGCATTCAGTAAAAACAAACTTTATCACTTACTGCACGTTGGGCCTTCAGTCCAGTTTCCAGAAAAGCAAAAGATCAACTTTGTGGTGTCTGCTCCCTCTACAGTATATCCATCTTCACATTCATACTGCAGTTTTGTATCTACAGGATACACCTCCTGGTGCCTCTGATGAATGATGACTGCATGGGGGATTTTAGGGGGCTCGCCACATGAATCGCTACTCTCTGAGAAAATAGCACAAAAAGCACAACTGTCATCAAAAAGAAGAGTTAATGAAGGAGCTCAGGTGAGTGGTTAGTTGGCTGGCTCTGTTAGTGTAGCTGGAGAGAACTCAAACATAAGGATTTTGTGTGTTATTAGTTATAAAGCTTGCTGGTGTAAACATCTGACAGACTTACTCTCACAGACCAGCACAGAGGACCATGTTCCATTTATACACTTGGTTGTGATTTGCCGGTCCTTGGGTTCATATCCATTGTCACATGTTATTCTGAGTTTGTATTCATCCTTATACCAACCATTTTGGCTTGCTGTGTATTTTGCATTGGGTATATCTGGTGGCAGGCAGGCTTTTTCATCTGAGAGGAAAAAAGATACAAAACACATTTTCACCAAAGTGACACTCTATTAAACCCCTATTTTTAGAATGCCATTAACAATAATAATAATAATAATAATAATAAACTTTATTTATAAAGCACCTTTCATATGAGAAATGCAGCACAAAGTGCTTTACAGTAAGGGCAGTATAAGCACAGAAAGCTTCACATGAAAACAGACAGAATGAACATAAAACTGATTCATAAAATCACAGAATTGTAAAACTATAAATTGTAAAATCAAGTAAGATTTTAAAAGAGTTGCAGCAGCATGAAGTGTAAAGTGTCAGAAACAAAACTGGGACACTCTGTTTTCATTGTTGATTTTTTAATTGATAATTGATAAGGATGAATTTGATAGTTATCAATGCATTAGTAAATTAACGTTTTTTAATATTATCTATTAAAGCCTTTGTAAATAATGACGGGTCTTTATCTAACGATGTGCCATATCATCTCGTCCACAATAATACCGGTATCATTTTTAATTCAACTTGCTGACATATTGACATCATACTGTTACCCACGGCAACAACAACCATGTCTGAAAGCGAAAATATCTCAGACTCTGCCGTGGTTCCAAAAAGAGGAGCAGCTTCAGTAGTGTGGAACAAACTGTGGCGTCCTGAATGTTTTATGAACAGCCCTGAACTTCTCAGACTCTTCTAGTGACTTAACGCTCAGAGGGAACTCATTCAGCGGCTCCTCTGGCAGCAGCACAGCGTCTCTCCCTCTCCTCTCTCACCATGTGCACACATCAAGTGATTCTGTCATAAACCTTTGGTAATGTAAACCTACGTGACGCTCAACAAATACCTACATATATGTGAATGTGTGATAGTTGTGGTATCATAACAGCCTGTCACAGGTTACAGTGTGATGATTAGAGGAGAAATGGCAGATCAATCATTTACAATTTTACTAAAAGAAGGAAATCACCTGTTGATTTATATATATATATATCCCGGGGAACATTTTTTGTATTTGGGAGCTGTTTAAATGTGTAATTTGTGGTAGATTTTATTTTGTTGAACTATTAATATTGTATACAGAATCTGAATCTCACTCTGAGTTACTGTTGTTGTTCACAAACGAAAGAAATGAGAGATCATTTTTGTTTAGCTTTTACTGAATATTTGAAGCAAACTGTAAAACCATCACTTATTTTGTTGCAATGCCATGTCCTTAAATTAATAATAAAATATTTTTTCACTAATCTGTTGTATCGTCAAGAATATCGCTGCCCCCCTGCCACCCCCCTTTAGAACACCACTGTTTGTTACAGCTCAGTGAAACCTGCCTTCAAAGAGTAGCTCAAAACCCTCTGAAACTCCACTGGTTTCACCTTCTGCAGTGACCTCTGTCACAGCAGGGTGAAGGCCGCTGACACTAACAGACTCAATCAGCTCATCAGGAGAGCTGGTTCTGTCCTGGGAGTGGAACTGGAGTCTTCAGTGGAGGCGTCAGAGAGGAGGGCACTGAGAAAGCTACTCAGTATTCTGGACAGCGCCTCTGGAGTCCTACCAGAGCACACTCAGTCATGGATTGAGACACAGGAGATCATTTCTACCTGTGGCCATCAAACTGTATAACTCCTCCCCCTTCTGTAGGGAGCTGATACGAGGACACTCACTGCAATATTCACCTACAGTAGGTGCACTATTACTTTATATAATGTACATTGATACTTTTTAATATCTTGTGCAATATTATTCTTCAATATCATGATCACTTGTCAGAGCAGTGCGATATCATTTCCTCAGTAATGTGCAATACTACTGCTTGTTGTTATATTCAGTATAACACTGATTATCAGGCACAGTCTGTTTTTTCCACCATTTTAGTTGATTTTTAGTAACTTGCACTTATCCTACTCCTACTGTTACTCTGTTGGGCACTGGTTTTGCTTTTGCTCCATGAAAACACTTCTTATCTTGTATATTTTGCCAGATATTTAATACTCTGTTGTTCTGGTTGTTCTAAAACGGCACAGCTCATCTCAGGAGGAGCCTTTCCTTCCAGTCAGGACATTTACAGCAGCAGGGTCATCAGGAGGGCCCACAACATTATAAAGGACTGTACACACCCCAACCACAGTCTTCACTCTTCTGCCATCAGGCAGACGCTACAGGAGTGTGAAATCCAGGACAACAAGACTGACCAACAGCTTCTACCCACAGGCCATCAGACAGCATGAAACACAACTGGTTGTAACTGGTTATGAATCGTTAACGTTGGGATAACTGTACTTAGGGTTACAGTAATATGAAGTATTCTCTGGCACAAGAATTTCCTTTGGGATAATTAAAGTTCTACTGAATTGAATTGAATTAACTGTTGGCTGTATTGTTGGTATTTTAGTAAAAGCAAAACAAGTGGAATTTTCCTTTTAGCTTTAAAACATGCTCGGATTGCTGCATGCTTATTACAGTCAAAGTATTTAACAGTGTCATTCTGATTATTCATTTATTTTTCATTCTTGGATATCAGTATTTAAAGGCTCAACATGAAACAGTATCACCCAGAAATGTAACAGCTACATTTTTTACTCTACGGTGTCACACAGTAACATATGGACGACTTAATTTTAAAGTATTTAAAAAATACAATAAATATAAAGAACATGAAAGGTGACGTGCAGTTTACGCTGAACACCACCTCTGCACACTTTCACCGACTCGTTCAAACAAACTGTGATTATGAAACACTCACCTATACATTGTGGCTCATGGGACCATGAACCATTATGACATGTGCTCGTTGCCCACCAACCCTCCACTGCTGGTTTCAGTCCGTCATCACAGCCATAACTGAGCGTCATTCCATGAAAATAAGCTTCTTTTTCAGGGACCAAATAACCACCGTTCAGACGGGGAGCGCGACAAGGCTGAGCTGCACTTTGTGCTGAAACAGTGATACGTAACAGAGCACTGTGGTGAGACGCCTCTAAAAAACAAACTAAAATGATAGACAATAGAAATTAATGTTCTTACCGTGCAGTACTCCTGGAAACCAAACCAGAAGAACAAATCCAAGATATCTCACACACATTTTGTCAGGAATTAAAGTCCTGTACGACAAAGCAGAGTGAAGAGCCCAGTTCACATCAGGACCAGTTAATAATTGTCGAGGGCATTTCCCCAAAAAAGTGATGTGGAGTAAACAGTCTCTGTAACTGTGAATGTGACATCATGCCGCTGCTCTGAAGCCAACACACTGATAACATGCAGAGAGCAGATACATTACAAACACACACAAACTGCATATGAATTTCATGTGAGATATATAGTGTTTGTCCAAAAGATGAGAATAAAATCAACATCATAATTATGTGGTCGTAAGTCAGATATGACAAACACAAAGTATGAATTATGATAATACAAGACAGTGCCTTATTATTACGTCAGCACCTTAATCTGATTAAAAAGTCAGCTTTCTAATTTCTAATGAGATCATATAAATTTAAAAATCTGTGTAATGAGATTATAGTTACATTATCAAGGATTACTTGATTACTTATTTGATTACAGCTTTAAAATATGGCAATTTTACAATTATAAACTTTTGTTTTTCATGGTAACCAACGCTCTATTAACTCTTGAGAAGCACGTCTGACATACGGATTTTCTTTGGCAGCTGTAGCTCAGAAGCAGAGTAGGTCATCCACCAATCTAAAGGTTGTCTGTTCGATCCCCAGCTCCTCCAGTCCGCATGTCAAAGTACTGTAAAACGACAATTAAAAGCCTTGTCCTAATTGACCGTTGCCAAACAGTTATACAATTTCTTCAGATGTTTAAAAGCGGGTTGTTGGCTACCTCAAATTATGTCTCCATTCCTCAATTACCCTGTAAGTTATTCATATTTTTTTTAGTCCGTAAAGGTCCTCAGATCAAATTAATCACAAGGGTTTTTTCATAAAAATGAATCCAAGTTATAAGTATTCTTTAAACAGGATGAAATGGTGTTGTGCCCTCTGATGCGCTGTCTGTCGGAGCGAGATCAAATGAATCATTCATATTTTTATATATTATCTGAAGTCTAATTTTTCAACACATAATATTCATACTGGTTTAAATAAACAATTTGATGGTATTTCCTGATCTTTGCTGAGCAACAGTTTTGTGTGAAATGAATATAAGACCTGTCCCAAATATAGGTCTGTTGATTTCATTGAATTAAGCAAATTATAGCCTGGGCTATTATTTGAAGTTTTACGGTATCCTCTGGCAAGATAGTGAACCCCAAATTCCTCCGTATGGCTGTTCCATCGGTGTGTGAGTGTGTGTGAATGGTTACTGAGCAGAAGGTGGCACCATGTACAGCAGCCTCGGCCACCAGGGTGTGATTTTGTGTGTGACATGTAGTGTAAAAGTGCTTTGAGTGGTTGGGAGACTAGAAAAGCCCTATACAGGAGCAGCCAATTCTTAGACAAGTGCTCCACAGTGTTACCACTTTTCCACTAAACTAGCTCCGGCGCTAGAACCGGTTCCATTCAGGATTCTTGGAAACTTGGCGCTATCGAACATCAACAAAGACTGTTGCAGAATGAACAACAGAGGTCAATACAAGTAGCAAAATGGTGGATCGCACTGATGACATGCGACGTTCTTTTGTTCTGCTCTAACAGACATTTGTTTTTATCCAAAAACAAGCATGGATCACTGCACTTTATTTTTTCCAGATGACGTCTCCATAGTTGTGTATTTATGTAACAGTTTCATTAGTGATGGATTAGTATAGTTCTGGGATTGGGCGTAGGACGAGACAAACATGTTGCTTCTTCCTCCTCCTTTTCGGACACGAAATGTTAATTCATGTTTCTCATTGTAAGTCTGTTCAGGTTTGTCTCTGTCTTGTAGGTCTTTTTAGACAATATATTCTATTTTATTATTATTTTTTTTTAAATGGCCAAAATAAATAAATCAAATCAAATAAGGAAAATCCAGGCTGTAGAATATGGCACACCCACAGATGTTGTCATACTTCACATTTTAGGTTAACAAAAACCTGCTATTTTAGGACCAAATTGTTGGACTTCAAACCAATTTATTTTTGATCTAAATGCTCAGAATGGTTCAAATCTAGGTGCAGGAAACAGAATGGAGCCTGTTTCATGTCGGTGTGGTGGACCTGACGGAAGACAGACATAACTGTGTTGGATCGAGATGGACGATTCAAGCAGCAGTAGTCTCAAATTTGTTGTGGCTGCGTCCATTTTTTTGTAGCACAAGGTGCAATATTTTCGGTGTTTCATTCTGACATACTTTAAAAGTAATCCAAAAGTATTCAGATTGGATTACATTTTTTCATAACCCAATGGCGATACTGATTCCTACATTGTCGTGTAATTCGTATTCAGTAACTGACGAAATTTCAAAGTAGTCTGACCCGGCCTTGCTTCCCAGCAAACGTTGCAGCATTCTGGAGTGTTGCCTCCATGTTTGTTTGCACAGAGCAGCGCCTGCAACAGTGATTCATTTGTTTAGAGTCAACATTTCAAAATGATTTCCCGGACTGCTGCGATCAGAGGTCAGCGTTATGAAATACCAAACACAGTCAGGCCAAAGGTCAAACTGAAACCACAGAAAAGAAATAACTCTTTGTGTTCTTTGTATTCGAGTGGAGAACAAAAACAGACAAGGTACCATCCTCTATATAAAGTGCTAACATAACTCATACTGATGATTATAATGTGATCATACAGTTTGTGTTTGACCTCCACATCAGGCTGTGATCGCCATTTGCTGGATCCTCGTGTGCTCTGCACCCCCTCAGAGCAGTAACAGCTCTGCAGTCTTGATGTCTTTCTGTCTGGGGCCAGACGTTGCCATGCAGTGTCTCAGGAAACATCTATGAACCTGAAGACAGAAATATATCTTATAAAAAATGTGTTTATTTGTAAAGTTGATTTACATTTGTTCACACTTTATAAATATTGTTTTTATCTGTAGGTCATGAAACACACAAGACAACAGAAACATGAAATACGCAGCTTTTTCAATTGATTTATGTTGCATTAAAAAACATTTAATAAAATAAAATTGAGTAATTTGTGTCCAAATGTAATTATTTTGACTGCTGCATCATAAGACTCATTAGGTTTGACATATACAATTTGTTATTTAAAGGTCCAGTGTGCAGGATTTAGGGGGATATATTGGCAGAAATGGAATATTATATAGTAAGTATGTTTTCATTTGCGTATAATCACCTGAATCAACCTCATCAGATTCTTGCCCTTCCAGTCCTTTTTTGTCCTTGACCTCTCCTGATTCTTTAAATTTATTTATAAGAGCTTGAATACCACATCTTGTGTATCCAGTTTGTTTGCTGATTTCCCTCTGAGAGTGACCTTGCTGATGCAATATCATGATTTCATGTCTGTCAAATTCTGAGATCTTCGCAAGCTTCCAAAGACTTACACTCTTGCAACATGCGTATGCAATGCTGAAACATGTCTTGTGCAAACCTCCTTGTTTACAGGACAAATATAGAAGTTAACAATGACATTAATTAGGGTTCCATTCCATTTAGGTTTAAGAGAGCCAGGTTCCTGCAATTGTTCAAATGTAAAGACAGGTCACTTTAGCCGATAGAAGCTGCTTTTTCTGATTATTTTTCTGTTTTTTTTAATACTGCATAGTACACATTTTCTGTATTTTCTGGTGGTATTCTAATGAAGAGACCAAGAAATAATTATATACAGTCATTATAGCATTGCTGTCAACGCGTGAATAACAAGTTAACTCAAATTCCTTTTAACGCCACTAGTGTTTTGACTCCTGATTAACGCATGTACCTTCTATAACTATGACCCTTGGCCTATCCATTTGGGAAATCAGGAAGTGATGCAGCAGTAACGTGATGGATGGCGAGCAGAAAAAACCTCCGTGAGCCAAGCTGAATTAAAAAAAGTTGTCTTTCGAACAGTTCAGCTTCAAAGCTCTGCCAGATGTTTTTTAGCAAGACCAAAATTATTTGCATCTACTGTCGATGTGAATTGAGTTGCCGCCGGAGTACATCAAGCTGTTTAAAAAAACAGGGGATGCTTAGTTAACCTTTGTGTGTAAAGTTGGACACTACATTGTGTTAATATTACTAAATGATATTGCATTCAGGTCAATATGTCCATCGTGAGTTTACCATGCTTTCAGCATGCAGTCAATTTGAGGTTATTCTGGAGAATATTCTGGACAGTATTTATCATTGTTTTGGATGGCTGCAATAACATTATAAATAAACTAGTCCATACCCATTAGTAGCTTTGTCACCTTCTACCTATGCCAGTCCTCAATGCCTATGTGCAGTTTAACATAGATTGACCACGTCAGTGAGTAGAAAAACGTGGGACAGACAGAATGACTGACTGACAGTTTCCATGATTATGTACAGCATACCATGACTTAGTCATACCAAAAATTAGAAAAAAACAACAACAATAAGCCACAGGGGGAGCCACAGCGATCGGTCGCATTTTAGCCATTTTTAAGCATTTTTCTGTTGTTATAGCGCCACCCAGTTGCCAATTACAGTTAAATTTCTCCAGTCACCTTGAGGCGTCCTGTTCTACATATCTACCAAGTTTAGTAAAAATCGATATGGCGGTTAGGCCTAGATAAGAAATTAGCTCTCTAGCGCCCCCATTTTGTTTGATGGGGTCAATAATGGAGGGGTCCCCTCAGATTATGTGTGGTCATATGCCTACAAAGTTGCGTGGTGATCGGTGAAACCCTTGAGATGTTATACACCTTTATGTGATGAGCCATGCCCGCCGCAATATTCATTGCCTTATAGAAGCTCAGTTTTAGTAAGTTTTCCAACTTTTGCCAAGAGGGAACTTTAGATATTGGTCCCTAGATTATGTTCACCGAGTTTCATGCAGATCGGTCAAACTTCCTAGGAAGAGATCGATTTTAAGTGTTTTTCAAAAAATTCAAAATGGCAGAAAATCTATATAACCGGAAGTTATGGGTTCTTGAGGCAAATTTGTTCCTCATGAGGAGAGGCATCTCTGTGCAAAGTTTCATGTCTCTACAACATACGGGGCATGAGATATGCCCATTCAAAGTTTGCAATTTCAATCGGTTGCTATAGCGCCTCCCTTTGGCCAATTGATGTAATATTGCTTTATTTGCATCC